ACACACATGGATGCATCTACAGACTAGCCAACAAAATAGCCTGTCAGATCATGGGATGTGAAGACAATGTTTGAACAATTTTAGATCTGTTTTTCTGATCACTCTCTGTATGAAGTGGTTGACCAATTGCTTCCTGGAATTGTGATTAACTGGATCAGCTGAGGATTGTGCATTGAGAAGAAGTTTGAAATATGCTCAGTAAATCGAAGAATAGGGCGCATCAAGAAAGAACAATCTCAAGCACGATAAAGTTCTTTCCTAAGAAGTGCTCAACTTAGATAAGTAATAATTTTCATGTGTGCATTATCGGATACACCTCATCCACACCCGTTGTTTAGTTAGTTCTAAGGTGGCAGAATAAAGTCAGTTAAACCGTTTAGCTGCAAATCCTCCACGAAATGATGCAATTGAGGAAGTTACTTGAATCGTTCTCTGCTACAACTTGCTTGTGATTCGCGGTGAGAACGATTCAGTGAGTTTCCCACGTGTTGCCTGTTAATGTTTGCGAGTCTCTTTTTCATACTTCTTTTGATTTGTTTTTTCGTCACAATCAATCATAAATTTGACTCGTTTTTTAATCTCCAATCCGCTTCCAAAACCCAGACTGGCGGTTCTTTTAATTACAGACACCTACTGATTGCGCTGTAGCATTTTTACTCAGTGGTAAATCATTGATGATTATTCGACGGGGAACTGCATAAACATCTATTTTGATCTTTCCCTTTCCTCGCAGACACTCAAACCACGACTTTGAAAATTGACCTAGTCAACGAGGAAATCTCGCCACCTGTGATTTTATCTTTTTTTGTTCGTTCGTCATGCTTTGTATAATATACTTTTCTACTCCGCATCTTCCGCTGATTGTCAAAATTGTAACATGCGAAGTCTATTTCGGAGCCTCTGATGACCAATTACGACACCCTTATAACTGGCTGTTACAGGTGCCCTAAGCAGACGCAGTGTGAAAAGAACACTGATGAACAAGTTTCGTCGACGGGTTTAACAGTATAATCAAATCATACATCGAATGCTTATTTTGCAATCTCTTGGTTCGCGGAATTTACGGGCTCTGCCGAGCTTTGATAACAGACCTGTCATACAAACCACAATCTTATCTTTTTCTTTTATTTCCTTTTATTGAATATGCAATGGTACAATTTTCAGGAAGGGGGAAGCGGCCAATCGAAGAGCTGCCATTTAACACACAATGGGGAAAGTCAGGCTTCGGTGGGGGGATTAGAACACATACACGGGGTGATAATTTGGTGATATTGCCACCGGGCCACCACCGCCTCAATCGTTGCATTCCGGGAATACCGAACGAACACCAGAGATTGAGGGTGAAAAACGCTTCCATCAGAGGTTGCACCGCGATAACCTACACTTGCTTTCATCGCACGAACTACCCGTTGGACCAATTCAGTAGTATGACGAAATTTCGTGAAGAAATCCAAATGACAAATTAAACTAATCGGGCGAGCTTCACATGTACATCTGGTGGATCTCAGGGGGTTATAAAAAGTTTTACAAAGTAGGAAGCAAATTACCGCTCCTAATAATGCTATTTCGATCATTTAACCACGAATCCGGTGTGCTTAGTAGCATGTTCTGATCGGGCTGGCGCATATGTGGTTAAGTTTCTCTTCTATGCCTCCATCCTCAGATTTCGTGCATTGTTTCACGTGGCGATTAGTGATGATGTCACAGATCCCATAGCGCCGCTGTTGGAGTCTACTGTCCTGAACGATTTGGTACCGAAATATCATAGAAACTCGATAGTTGCCTGTGGTATCATCGCAAATACTCCTAACAATATCAGGGACCATTTGAGAACTTCGAAATTCCGGCGGATAAGAATAATGATTACGCGCAATCGAATTTCAGTGAGTATACCTGAAAGCAGGACGAGGCCATATACGATTTTGAGTTTAGTAACCATAAAAAATCTCGACAGCAATGACATGCGTTGGCCAACACAGGATGCTGCCAGTAGTCTTCTGGGTTATAATGATTGCGATAAATGGTTTACTGAGACTTTATCACAAGGGGAAAACCATGAAAACATGGGTAGCGGGAAGCAATATGAAATCGCCTAGATTGACACACGGGTGACGGTGTTTCATTAAATTATCTAATCGTGATGTGTGTGGGCATATTAGGGTTACATGTCATAACAATACAATACAATGAACACTCCAACTTCTAGTGCTCTGATCTTTTGGGAACCTATTCCACTAAAGATCACAATGGCCAGATTCAACCAATAACTGCGGCGCACCCCAAATGATAATGGCCTAGTGCTAACCAGGCTGCTTCATCTGCAACTGAAGCTCCGTGGGCATTGTCATGCGATCCTCCATCAGAAGCAGAAGTTCGGTCTTGCATTCAAGCTCTGAAGCGAGGAAAGGCAGCAGAACCGGATAGGCTCCCTCCCACTCTTTTCAAGATGGGAAATGATGACCT